TCTCGACCCCACTGTACCCCGCGACGTGGTTCGGAATGGCCCATTGTACAGAGACACCAAACACGGAAGTCGCGGCGTGTGCACTCCCCAAATGCCCATTTAATATAATTTCTATTATTTTTGCCAACTGTGGCCACTGGAAACTGCCATCAGGTGACAGTTACAATGCAGAAACAATATACAACGAGCGAAACTCCTGCTCCCTCACCCACTCCTCGAATTCTGAGTGGGGACATTGCCACCATCCCATCGCCATTGCCATCCCAACCCCTCCAACCTGTCTTGGCCACTCGATGCTCCATTCCCGCAATGATCATCATAATCGTGATCGTTTTGGGTTTGGTATCGGGCTCGCTTTGTTCGTCCAAGTCTAAGTCCAAGGCTGTCTTGTCCTCGGGGATCCATTTTTGGCATGCGTTCGGCAGAGAACACTTCCTGTTGCTGTGGGAAACACTCGGGAACTTGTTCCTTTCATGCGACATGTTCGCCACGATTTCTCTCGTGGAGCTCTCCCAGTTTCTGTTCGCAAAACCCACCCACATAAAGAATATTCCTGCCTTATAAAGTGTATTTTAGCCTCTGTTTGTATTGCAAATATTTTGGAAACCCGCTCTCATAAATCAATTAGCCAAGTTTAACAGTTTCGGGTCGAGGTGCCTGTTCTGGTGCTGGTGGGTTGGATGGGTGGTTGTGGCTCCGTTCTACTTTGTGGTGCATGGTGCATGCAACAGGCGAAGCGGTCATAAATTTCCAAGGCGATGCCCCTTTTGTGTTGTTGCAAATGGCAGTCGAACTGCGAGGTCCTTTCCTCTGCCTTGTGGCATGCGAAAATTGGTGCAAATTGATGAGAATATAAATGGAAAATATTGGGAGCGGAGTGGGGCGTTTCTGAGATCATTTTCAGATCCCCAACTGGAGCTAAAGGGGATACCAACAATCTGTTTACTTTGTCAAGTGCCGCACAGTGAAAATTGATGGAAATTGCTCCAATTTACCGGTTCGCACACCCGCAAGATGCGAATCTCGCCCAGGCAGTTTATCAACTCATCTCCACCAGAAGCCGACTCCTCCGACTCAAGGTCGCTGCAGGTGGGATGAGTGCTGCCATGGAGAATAGGAGCGGAGCAGGTGTTGCCTCCATTGACAGTTGCCTTGATTGGCTTGTGTTGCATGTCGCACGCCTCGTGCTGCCTCTTCGAAACCTTCCTCATCTTATTCCTCATCTATGCCCATGCCGGGCACACCCCTTCATTTGCAGAGACTGAATCGGAGCAGGAACCCATCCACTCCAAACACAACTGCATTTTGGGCCCAGCTTGGCGGAGGAAGCCACGAGTTGGCGACTTGGCGAGCTGGTGTGGCAACGCCCAGAGCAAATATTGGGGGAATAGCCATCACTACCCATTCCATCCCCTTCCGCATCGCGTTTCTCCAACTCGATCTCCATAACTTGCTGCAATGTCGTCGCTAATCGCAGGCTCTGGGATTGTAAATTAAAAGTGGAAGCTTCGATGGCGGGGAGATTGCATCACAACTGCTCACCTATTCGATGTGTCCGGACTCATCAGCGCAGGAATTAATGATGGGAATATGAAACCGCCAATTTGCCTAGCTCCACAGCGAATTGCCCGGGAATCTCTCTTCTTTGGAGAGCCAAAGAAGGAGAAATGCTTTCCAATCCCTCTTCATATGGATGCAACAATATAGCAGATGCCACCTCTGCGTGCCCATAACTCACTGGAACCCTCCCCCTCACCCATGGCATCTGAATCCAAGTCTGGCCAGGCTAAGCAGGAGCAAAAAGTGCGGCAATTAGAAGCAGAAGCTGCCGATGGCAGTTGAATGTTGGTCGGTGATTGAGTTGCAGCTCAGATGGACTCCACCTGTCCCTCTGAATCCCCGGCCCTCCATTCCCGGGTGTAATTGATGGCGGGGATGGAGATGGGGGTCGTGAAGAGGAAGGGGGGTGGGGAGTGGGGAGTGGGAGGCAACGACCAACGGCAACGGCGGCAAACAGGAAAATTCATATTACGAAAAAACTGCATCGCTTAAGTGTCATTATTGGGACCAGAATTTCAACAAGTGGGGATTCTGGAGGAGATGGTGAAGTTGGAGATGGCAACTTTCACCGCGCTCAGGATTCCTTTGAGCAGTGAGCTTCGGTTGGAAACAGAGGAACCAGAACCACAGCCAGACATCGGTCAATCTGGGATCCCCCTCTGCCAAGCCCCTTGTCCTCCTCCTGGGTGCGCCAATATCCGCTGGCCACAATCAACACCTCCGCACCGCCTCTTCCTAGCGAGGTGGAGCCATCACTCAACTTCAACTTCAGTCAGTCTGTGGCTTCTCTTATCTTTGGCAATGCCCCAATCCACCTTCCGCAATCACCCACCTCCTACCTCCTTCTCCTCCTCCTCCAAAGTCACTTGGTGTTGTTTTTACACCTTGCTTGTTTTTGTGGCCATGGTCTGGTGTCGAATGGATCCCAACATGGGTGCAGAGTTCTGTAGTCGCAGTCCAAGTACAAATCCAAGTTGTCGACGGTTAAGGGCGTTAACTGGGTTAAACGCTCGTTGACAGTTTTATGCCGCCGACCAAGCCAAGACCACATCTAAACCAAGAACTCCGAGACCAAGACGAAGGCGTTGAAAGTCAGTCAGTGGCACAGACCAAACGAGACACTTACTAAGAGTGAAAATTCTGATTGAATAGTTTTTCTTTCCTTCTGCATAGAAAGTTGCCATTAGAAAGAGCCGAAGGGAACCATTGAAAAGTGAAACAAAACAAATCAAATGGCGGTACAATTAGAGAATACAACGTTACCATTCCACTCGTAAACTTCACCTTTCGTTTCGAAACGGCGTCACCGGGAGGCGACTTTGCAGGGCACTTTCATCATGCGTGTGATTCTTATCGTCAATTTGCGATCCTTTCACTCGGGGATCATTCCTTGATTACCTGCTTAAACCAAGAGAAACTGTGCAGAAAGATTGATGACTCACAGATGATTCTTTGAGTGCCATTGCAATCCTTTCCATTTTATGATGCATTCCAAGTGAAACTTAAGAAATATTTAAGAGTAAGAAACTTGCATTAATTTAAATTTGAAACAATCGAGACAAGACGATAAAACAAACTACACAGCGAGTTTCTTCGATTGATTGCCGGAAACATTATCATTAACATCAGGAGCGGGTCTGGTCGACCTCGACTTTCTGGGTAAATGGAAATGGAAATAGGAGGTCCAACAGAAACAGCCCACGCGGCAATCAGAGAATGTGTGAAAAATCGAAAGGAAATTTGCATGTCACTCAATAGAGGTTCAAACGTTGTTTGCTCTGCAAACGAACCTCAAAACTCGGGACAAGATCAGAGCAACAGCAAAGGTTGTTCCGTCACTTTCAACACTTATTTTTTTGCAAGTCTTGGCACAGTTTCTTGGACCTAGAATGCAAACAAAAATTTGAATAACAAGTGACACAGAAACAGAAAAGCAAAAATCAGTGGATGGCCTATAAAAATCGACTTCCTACTAACGGTCTAGTGTTGATTTATATCTGGGCCATCCGCCGCAGTAAATCTTACCTTGATAAGCGGGAGCAACAAACTCCTCACTCGAACTGTGATTGTAAGCTTTGTCCAACAACATTCGGTAGTTATTTCACCAAAGATTAAAGTGAAGCGGTTCTCAGGAATCGCACACTTTATAATTTTGGCCACGATCGTGACATGCGATAGCAATTAGAGAAAAACTCCTCCGGTTCCAATTAGTTAATCAGAAGTTTAGATGAGCAGGGAATTTTTTTTTGGTGGCCCAATCAATCCATGGCCATCAGAAGAATATCTCAATTTACACGCCCGTTTCAATTCAGAGGTCAATTTCCGAATCTGGTTGGCGATTGCAGACTTCCTATTTAGATAACAAGTCGCAACGCTTTTCCGAAACAGCAAGACAGAGAAGTACAATTTATATAATTTCTTTATCAGATCTGCTGGATGTGCTACATTGTTGGAAAAATTGTATAATTCACTCAAAGGCGTTAATCGAAAGCGAAGAGGCCTCAATTATGGCCACAAAGCGAAAATCGCCGTAAAATCGAAATGGAATCAAAAAAAAAACTTCCCCTGCAATTATTGATATCAAACACTGCACCGGAATTTGATGAAAATGCGGGAAAAGTGCGACGAGTTCAGTTTGCTGTGCTTTCGATGATTGCGCGTCATAACTTAATTGCATTATGTGACGGACAAATTCGAGACAGCCTCCGCTTTCTTTGTGGCGCAACTATTACTGGTGGTATTACTAATGGTGTGGTTGCATAAACGCTATATCAAACCAGGTTGCCTTGACTAAGCTGCCCCCACAATCAGTGACCTCATTCCAAGCTCACCGTTTTCTTAGTCTGCCTTCGATTGTTATCGCGCACTTAATTAGGCGTGCGTTAAGGTAATGCTTGTGTAGTTCTTCTGGTACTTACAACTTTGGTCATTAGAAAGCTGCAAGGTTCTGGGGGGCTTACCCCTCCAGAAAATCACGAAACAACTCCATGAGTGAGCTCCTCTTTGAGTGATCCATGCACCTGCTGCTCTTTTATGGCCCGCTGTGGCACTTCAATTTTTCATTATTCAGTGCAATTCGATGCCGTTGCTGCGTGTCAGGCAATCGCATTAGAAAATCATTTGCCTCGACTGTTATAATTGCATTTTATTACTTCCGACAAGAACGAGAAACCCACGAAAGACCTGCAGACCTTCGGCAAGAAAAGCTGTTCCTGAGGCTGAAGCTGAAGAAAGTTGCCAGCGAAGAGAGTTCCCAGAAGAGAGCTGGCAAAGAGCGGCCGTTTGAGCCATTAGCTTTCCGTCCTCTACCGGTTTTTCTTCTTGGCCAAAAGAGAGTTAGTCGCTGCTGCTTCTGCTTCTGCCGCTGCCGACGTCGGCGGCGTTTGGGTCTTCGACGGTCGGCTTCCCAGCTTGAAAACGTTTTCCGCGGCCTTCGCAGCAAGCATTCAGTGTCAAGGTGCTCGAACTGGCGGTCGCTAGCGCTCCAGTGATAGAAGCTAACGAACTTGATCCGATTCGATCTTGCCCAGCATCTGGTATTCCTCGAAGAGCTTCGCATAAGAACGTTTAGCAAAATCACCGAAGAGGCAGTTTGGCGCTCCACTTTCGACAGTGAGGACGTCGCTCGAGCGGTTCGCGTTGTTTCGGTCCATCAAACTATAAAAGTCAAATTCTTGAAACAAATCAATTGAGTGTTTTGTGCGTGTCCTGCTATCTTAAGTGAAGTTTTGAAACGGTCATATCTATATATACACATTCTCGAGTGCTAAAGGTAAAATTGAAAACGCGTTCTGCACATCGATTGGCATTCAATGCCTGACAAGGTGTCAATTGTCAGGCAAACAGGATGTCCACATGTCGATCAATTAAACGAAAATGGTCAATGGATCATTAGAGAAAGCTTGGGTGAATGTCAGCACAAAAAGCATCGAGGAGATGTCACATTAGTTTCCAAGCTTCCCAGTTTCCAGTTTCAAGAGGAGCTGGCATTTTCGCTGGCATGCCGGAAACACGGCGTGCAGAGCCAGTCAACTCCCAAATGCGCAGAATTCTGCAGGCAATTAACTTTCGGCCTGGTCAAGTCTCTTGCTCCTTTGTCGATCCATTGGGAATCCTGCTGGTGGCCAGTGATTTGGGTCAGTCAACGGTATGATGCGACCATTTAATGGCAATTAGCTGGGGCTCAGACGAGTCAAGGCCTGAATGTCAAAGACTTTCGCTGCCTTAATTAGAATCCGAAAATCCGAATGACAAATCTCCGCTTTACGTGCTCCACAATTCATTGCCCTGTTACGAAAGAGCCGGGCTAAACGATTACCCAAACTCATTAATATTCCGGACCAGTATAGTATTACCCATGATCCGAAATGCGTTCAACAGTTAGAGCAGCTTCTTCGTGAGCTCGGAAATCATGTTTATGGATTTGGGTGCATAGATTAGGTTTTCGAATGGCTTTCGAATTGGTGCGGCTGATTTGCCGTTAGGGTTGGGCCATGAAATGAAAAGTTTTGTCAAGATTTTCCCAATGCTTCTTGTTTCTTTTTTGGTTTGATACACCGCAGACAAGGGAAACTAGTTTTGTGGCTCTTTTGATAGTTGAAAAATTTCACTGGCCATTAATTGAAGATTTGTCGCTAACTTTGAGAAATTTCTGCCAGCCACAAAAAAGAATTTCTATAGAAATAGCTCGAGGTGACCCACATCCGAGAAATCCAAGCGGAGCCTACTCCTTCTACCATCGATGGCCAGCGGGTGCAGTTTTCAAATTGCGAGCCATGAAATGAAGATAGCAGTCGGGCCATGAAGTAGTTGCCAAGTGGCTTTTTCTGGCCAACTTGCTTGGTGTTGCCTCCATCTGCGGCGACTTGCGCACATTGCTTACAGTTACACTGAGCAGTGCTTCAATTGAGATAAGCCTGGATGGCAGTTATGTCATTCCCTGGCACACTTTTCCCCACCAACACAACAACCAATCACTCGCCATTCTAATTAAGTGGCAACTAGTTTTTGGCGTATTGGTGTCATAAATGTGCTTTATCGGCACCTTGACAGCATGAAAGCAGCGGGATTAGCCCGAATTTTGAACCAGATCCCAAGAAGTCTCACTTAACCCAGACTCCATAAAGCTTGGTCAAGACCAACTGTCAAATTTGGCTGTAAATATGCTAAAGCTTGAAACTAGTTGCTAAACTAGCTGATAAATCCACAGGCATCGATGCGAGCATGTATATATATAAATCTCCATTTGCTTCGAATCGAATCCGCAGCAGGAGCAGCTTGGCTGCCAAAGTAAATTTATGTCCATGTCCGTGAGTTTGCAACTGTGGATCCGAGGATTTGTTTATTGGCCCACTAAGGCGGCTGACCCACAACATTAAATTGTGATTTGAGTGGGCCAGTAGCTGGTGGTTTTCTCCAGCTGGGAGACCGGCTAATTAGAATGTTTCCCCTCTGTTTCATTTGATTCCCTGCAAGGGGCACGCGACTCGCTTCGTTGAGCAGTCCGTGTCATTGACCAGCAACAATGAAAATTGATTTGCAGGCAGCAGACAATTGCATAATCGTTGATTATGAGGCACTCACGAAGCTCGAATTCGATTAGTACGGAAATCAAGTCGAGAGCATGTAGAAAACCCGGCTCTCTGTGATTTAACGCATATTACACGTAATGCATTTTCCATGCAGCTGGGTCTGGTTCTGAAAAGTAACCGCAAAAGCCACTAACGATCCAACATAAAGCATCCAACAGTTGTGTTCTCCTCCGTATCGATCGCATTGTGATCAGAGGGGCCCAATCAGAATTCCTTCTGACCATTTCAGTTAACAGCTTCTTGGCTGAAAGTCCAGGTGCTTTTCCTGGTAGCTTTTCTTTTTTTTTTTTGTTTAGGCTTCCTGTGCGTGCGCCTTGTGTAAGTGGCATTATTTTAATTCTTCAAGAGCCCGTGCGTGTGAGCAGCGTTTAGATCTGAACTGCTGCCGTTTTCAGAGTCGGGGACCATCAACCAAATTGATTTTGCATCTTTTCCTTGGCAATTAATCAAGTGCCTTCGTGCTGGTGGGCGTTGCAATTGCAACTGCACTGCAGGATAGCCCCTATTAAACCCATTATTAAAGCTTAACTGTAACTGCTGGGGCAATTAATCACGAGATAAGCATGGGAGTGGGAAGACCGAAATGCTAATTAAAAACCAAGCTACCAAAACGTTATTTTCTTTACTTTACCCCCCCAGAACACAGAACAGAGAACACAGAACACAGAGTCTAAAATGCAACTGCGGTCAATGACAACGAAGCGAGCAGTCAGCATGATGGCGCTGCTGAGCTTAATGCTACTTTTGGTGGACAGCTCGGTGGCAGCACGCAAGTTGCCCAAGCGGCCGGCGGTGAAACCGTTGAAGACATTTCCGCGCAACAATGCCACACCGATTCCGGCAACGGGAGCGGGATCGGGGGCGGGAACTGCGGCGCCGAACGGAAGCGAGCTACCAAAACCGTTCGGCGTTGAGCCAGCGGAAGCGATTGTCGCATCGCCACCTGGTTCTGCAGATTCCTCTGCTTCTGTCCCTGCACCAACTGCTGTATCACCTGCTGCTGCTGCTGTAGAGACTAAGGCCGATGATCTGGGCCCCACTCCCATGGCAACACCTTCGGTGGGTTCCTCGGTGGACGAGGATTGCGAACCGGATATGATTGGCTTCGAGCTCATAACAGGGTAAGTGTCGCCGACAATAAACATAAATCTTAATTGCGGGCAATTAGTTGCCTCTGGAGCAGGGACAACACCACGATTGTTTGGGCAGGGAGCATAAATTATACCCACGACTGCCTGTTAACACATCGTAAAGGTGGCTTCCCCCATTTATAATGCCGCGATCCCACCCACTTGGGTTGGCCCCCAAGAACCCCAGAATTTATGTGCGTTACTTTCCGGTTAATCCACCATCGCAGGTACGTGCTATCGGCGCCATCGAAGCAATTGGAAACGCTGCCCGGCACCCTCATGCTGACCGACTGCCTGGAGGCCTGCCAGGCCAATGAATCTTGCAGTGCGGTTAATTACGAGACGGGCCTCTGTGTCATGTTCCGCAGCACAGCCGATCAGTTGCCAGGTGAGTCAAGTGCGCCGGCAGAAAAGTGGGGATCGTAAACCCAATAATGTCTTCGAACAAGGGTTTTACAAAACATTAAATGATAATAGCAGTATCGATAGCAACCACTTACTACAAATATTAATTCAAGTTTCTAGCGCCGAGTTTAAAAGTTTGATTTTTTGAATAGATTCCTGAAAGGAATATTTTGAATAAATTAAATGCCACACTTAGCTTAAATAAACTTTACAAAATCAATAACTAACTAATAATGTTTTAAAGCCACTTACCCCAAAGTGAAAATTGTTAAATCAAAGTTGAGTACTTTTCGCCATTCCAATAATTAATAATTGCTTCGAAAATCTGAAATACAGAATAGGTCTTATGAGAAAAGTTGAAGCCATTTAAGTTTTAGTTTAAATATGGAAATAGTAAAAGAGTACGTTTTTTCATGTGTAGAGGCTGGTTAAAGACTCAGCACTCGATCGCCCAATCACGATCTTTGGCTCGCAGCTTGTATGTTAAATGTTTCCCGCTAATCACAACAAATGCCGCCCCCATCTGGCTATCTTTCCCCATTTTTCAGGTTCACTTTCCCGCTCCCAGTACCCCGTGTTCACCGTTTACGCGCAGAAATCCTGTTTCGGAGTGCGTCCCTGCTCGAAGGCCTGGTGCATCGATCGCGTCCAGGGCTACCGACTGCCGGAGCGGGCCAAGGCCAGCCAAAGTGTGGCCACGCGGCGCGACTGCATCGAACTGTGTCTGGGCGAGACGGAGTTCACCTGCCGGTAAGTGCTGCGATACCGTTACAGCAGAGCCACCCTCTTGAACTGGACCGCCCTCAACTCCCCAACTCCCCACCTCAATTCACTACACACTAAACACTAAACGTCTGTGGTACACAGAACAAAATATTAACACAAATCGATCTATATCAGGTTGGTTTGATATTGGGTTAAACTGGTATAACAACATCTGGAGTTCGAATTTATATATTTATAAATCAATAATAAATTGGCTATGTTTAGTTGTTTATCGGTCTGTCAAGTTGTTTTACGAAGTAAATCAACAGTAACAAATCATATCCAATTAAAATACGTTTAATTTTAACAATTTTCCATTTAAGGGTAAATACCTATAATATCGAATCAAACAACCTTAATATTTTTCAACGATCAATTAAGTTATTGTTAAATGGTTCCCATTTTAAATGTAAGTTAAATCTAATAGACAATTTCCCATAATTTTCTTTCTGTGCAACATGAAGATCGGCCAACTACTATGCGCACTCTGGCCTGTGCGAGCTCTCGGACATGGATCGCATTACGCTGTCGGACGAGGCAAACATTGCGGCCTACGATGGCGCCGACTATCTGGAGAACAACTGCGCGGAGGAGCCGAGCAAGCTGTGCGAGTTCAAGCGCGTAGCGGGTCGTATTCTGAAGACGGTGGACTCTGTGCACCAGAATGTTCAGACTCTGGACGAGTGCCGTGACCTCTGCTTGACGGCCCCGTTCCGGTGTCACTCGTATGACTACAACGAAACCGGGGAGTTGGTCTGCCGACTGTCCCACCACAGCCGCGCCACATTGACGGACCTCTCGGAGCCCTACCTCTCCATCGAGGAAGCGGCCACCTACGAACAGTCCGCCTGCTACAACGTATCGATCGACTGTCGCTCTGGGGAGATGGTTACCAAGATCCGCACCTCCAAGCTCTTCGATGGCAAGGTGTACGCCAAGGGAGCACCCAAATCCTGCGCTGTGAATGTGAACAACTCACTGGAGTTCGACCTTAAGATGAGGTACAATGATCTGGAGTGCAATGTGCGACAGAGTGCGTATGGCAGGTACATGAACGACATTGTGATCCAGCACCACGACATGATCGTCACATCTTCCGATCTTGGGCTGGCTGTATCCTGCCAGTACGACTTGACCAACAAGACGGTGGTTAACAATGTGGATCTGGGAGTCACTGGAGAGATTGAGTCCACTCTCAGCGAGGAAATCATCGTCGATTCGCCGAATGTGATCATGAAGATCACCGCACGTGATGGCAGCGACATGAAGAGGATTGCCGAGGTTGGAGATCCACTGGCTCTCCGCTTCGAAATCGTCGACGCCAACAGCCCGTACGAGATCTTTGTGAGGGAACTGGTGGCCATGGACGGGACGGACAGCGCCGAAATCACACTGATCGACGCCAACGGCTGTCCCACGGACCAGTACATAATGAGTGCCATGCAAAAGCTGGCCGGCAATCGCAAGGTGCTGCTCTCACAGTTCGACGCCTTCAAGTTCCCCTCCTCGGAGCTGGTGCAGTTCCGCGCCCTGGTCACGCCCTGCATACCGCGCTGCGAACCGGTTATCTGCGACAACGATGAGAACGGCGAGCTCAAGTCACTGCTGTCCTACGGTCGTCGCAAGCGATCGGTGCTCAACGGCACTGATGGCGGTAAGTAAACGGTTCTTCGCGGCCAGAACCGAAGCCAGGGATGGCGATGGCCAACGCCACCAAGTGACCTCTGGCAAAAGTTGGATCGAATATCCAATATCGAAGGCGGGAAGGTGGGGATCCACGAGTATGGCCATATGACATTTGCCATTTACTTACTGCAAAGAATTAGGAAAATGTTCAGTGGATAATAATCGATCATTATGAACCTTGATTTTTTGCTCAATAAGAATTTACTTTAGGGCAAACAAAAATTCATTACTTAACTGATCAGTTTGTCCGGTTATTATCGATTATTATTATTTGAATTTAGTGTATTTCACATTGAAGATACTTTTTTGAAGCCCAATAACGTTTAAATTTAGAAATTAATATTTTTATCTCAGTTAAAAATATTGGATATTTAGAAAGGATTAAGTGTAATGTGTCTATAAAAGGAGCCCAACAAATTTCTGACACTAATAACTTTGCCGTTCGGTCAGGGAAATTGGAATGTCAGTATTATGGCCTGCCCGGAATTTATGCACCTTCCTCGCTTAGTGGCACACCATCCCTGGTTTGGTGGCACAACAGCTCCCAGAAAACATATTTCATTTCTTGTTTTGCCTCTTTTTCGCTTCTCTTTGCTCGCCTGCAATTTTTTGTGTTTTGTGCTTTTCTGCTCGATGGATGCGCTGCTACCTTTTCACAGTTGAGCTGGCCATTAAGTCGGAACGCCAAAAACGTGATGTGAGTCATCAGGCGGCCGGCGATGAGAACATTCTGCTGGTGCAATCGATACAAATCACCGATAAGTTCGCCTTCAATGGCGCCGATTCTTCGGGAGGCTCGGAAACCGGTGGTCTGGATGGCCTGGCCAAATTGCAACTGGATCTGGGCACTAAAACGGACACTTGCATAAATGGCTATGGTGAGTTGAGGGGATCAGTTGGGATCACTTGGGTTATGTGTAGCACAGTGGCAAGTCGATCCGGCTTCATCTTTTTGGTATCGCTGAGCGTGGCAAATTGATTTGCTCTAATCGCGTGCCGTCGCGCCATCTAGCCCCTAGGAAGAAGCAGCCTCGACTTGCCGACTGAGTGCCCAGCTAATTAAATAAGCTCGTAAATTTTCTTCAACTCTTTTTACAACTCTATGCAGGCTTCATAATTGCCGGTGCTCTGTTCCTGCTGCTCCAGCTTACAGTCATTGCTGTCTGGGACAATATGCAGAAGCGAGCGTTACACAAGCGGTAAGAACGTCAACGACAGTGAATGGCCTCTTAACAAGCCAAGAAGTACGAGATACAGATGGAAAAGGAGATGGAAATCGAGCTGCGGGTGGAGAGGCAGAAACTAGCATGAAATTCTACTTAGCTCAAAACTTAGCACTGCTCATAATCTAGTTAGTAGATGTACGATCCAGAGATGGAGAATGGACGCCCTTCCCCGGACTTTCCGCCATTGAGCTGGACTCCTCTGTGAAGGGTTTCCCTTAGGGACGAACGAACCGTAGCTTAATATTTATTCCTATACCTAACTATATGTATGCGCGTTTAGGCGCCCCCTCTATAAGACTTACCGCTAAGACTACTCTGAATACGTCGACATACTATCAGCTTAAGACTCGGAACTCGGAAAGTAAAGCTACTTAGATATAGTGCGAACCATTCAAACCTCTGAAGAGAGCTCTGAACTGACAAGCATTGCTCGTTTGAGAGGTTTGACTGTCTACTAATACTTAAATACTAAAACTTAACTTAACTTAACTTAATGCTTATATATGCTAGGCCCAATCGAACACACCACACAAAAATGTAACAAGAGACAAAACTTCAGATGCTATAAAAGGTAAATAAACGTATTAGAAAGAAACTCGTTTGCATTCGCATTAATTTTCTTTTTACCGGGATTTGTTTGGTCTTCGGAAAACGAAATTTGCCCGTTACTGTCAATGTCAATCGATCAACAATCGACGGACTCTAACAAGGCCAAAACCTCAAGCCTTGGCCAAGATTGTTGGTTTTGGCCTAATCAGCGTAGATACAAATCAATCAAGAGAAGCGTTTAGAGTTCCTCCCTCGATCCTCCCCCAACAGAGTGAGTGCCACACTCACCAGGTGGAAAATTGGCCCGAGTGAAACTGAACCTTGGCTAAATGGCGTTGAACCAAGCTAAACGAACTGCCTGCAGTAAAAGTGACAAACTAATTGGGCGAGGAAAAGAGGGCTATGAATTGCAGGTAAACAACTTCATTAACATGATTTCACCCACATTCGGAGTGCAGGCAGCGAAATGAGCCCCAACTTGAGTGGGTGGTTTAAAAGGAAATGGAAATGTGTTGGGGCATTCGAGTACCCCAAGCTACCTTACTTTATGGGTGTAGTAAAAAAAACAGTTAATGTATATAACATGCACCAAATGTAACCAATTAAGTTAAACAAAAAACATGTAGAAAAAACTTTACGTTTTTAAAAATATTAAACAAATCGTTAAGAAAATTTTAACTAAAACTTTATTCATAACAAAATGTTAATAGACTTTTGAGAATAAAAATATAATAAATAACATTCATTTGCAGAGAAGAGGTAGTAGGGATTTTCCGATAATATAATCAATTTATTTTATTAGGTTTTAGATTTATGAAAGATTTTCGTTAAAAGGCCACCAACCAAATCGCTCTATCAAAGAAAGACTATATTTGCTAACAAATAATGTATTAATAATATCCTTTTACTGACAATTACTTTTTGTATGGCTAAATCCAAATTGCAGTAAAAATTGTCAGGGACTTTCTTCAAGCCATTCTTTAACTGCGCCTAGATGAAAAGTCACCATATTTTTAGTCATAATTATAAGTATTTTCTATCAAACCATCCTAAGATGGAAGTCACCGAGAACAGCAAATGCAGGCGGCGGGCAGCAGCAGGCAAAAAACAATTTGAAAGGAAATGTTTAACATTATCTCGAATCTGATGCTTTGAACTCGGCGCAAGTTGGCGAACATGAACATGAAAAGTTGCCAAGTCAAATGCTGTCACTGACATGGCCATCCAAATTTAGACAAAGCCTCCAGAGGAGCCAACTCCTCGAGACTCCTTCTTTTTTTCCCCAGCATTTCGTTTCTAATGTCCCCGAGACTTCTGTGCTCCCCGGCATAGCGAAAGTCTTTGAACACTTTCCGTGGCTGCGATGCACAGCATCCGTTTGGCTGGCTGGCGTCTTTCTATTTTTTTTTCTATATTTTTGTCACCGCGGGACTCGCGAGGCTTGGAGGCACACGCATAACATAAATTCTGCAATGCGTATTTCAAAAATTGCAGCCTTCGATGTGTCGTATGCTCTTTATAAGGAGCCGAACAGAGGCCTTGGCCATTCAGTTGTCCGCTGGGCAAATGTTTATGTCAAACGCGCAGCAAATAAAGTGCTCGGCTTGACAATGTCCGCCGGCAATGTCAACAGATGGTCTTTGGGGACCAACAATCTGGGTGGGTAGCCAACTTTTTTTCGTGACTGCTGCTCCATAATCTTTATGAATTGCCGCAAGGACAATGGCCTGACTGAAATGCAACTGCCGGGCATTTGCAACTCATTTCGTTAGCAACACCCAAAGCCAAAATGAAGGGGGTAGAAGGCATAATGAATAAGAATTCAAAACTAGCATTCTTTTCTGGAATCACGCACGCGAAGGCAATACCCGAAACGCTGTAGATTGGGCCAATATGAATTTGGGAGCATCAATTGGCCTGTTGGATCGTTAATGGCATTGCGGTTTGTTTTCATTTTTTGTTCAGCTCCAACAACGGCAGCATGTAAAATGAATTACGTGTAATATGCGTTAAAGCACGAAGTTCAGCTTACAGCTCAGATATCTGAGATGTATTCCACGGCCTACGATTGATTTCCGCACTAACCGAATTCGAGTTAGGAATTGATTTTGCGCTATAAGCAACCGAAGAAAGCACAGCGGAAAAATCAAAATGCAATTTTGATTTCTACTTAATTCCCTTTTGATGCTGAATTAGCCTTTTGAATTAAAGTTCTGGCTCAATTTTGTACCCTTTTAGGGAAATGTCGGTGATAAACTAACTAATCCCAGCTGCAGAAGGTATAATATTCCTTGATTGTGCTTTTACTAAAACTTTTTTCCAGTGTACTCTCCTAATCAACGGTTACGCAACCGTCCGCCTGCAAATCGATTTGCATGCCTGCTGCTGCTGCTGCCATCGCCATTTCTGTTGAGTATGGTCAATGACATGGTGGAGTCATTAGCGAATCGCCGAGAATGAGTCGCGTGCCAATCTCAGTACCGTTCTCCTCGCAAAGAATTACACAAAAGCGGGCCACAACACTTGGGCGTGAAGAGTCACAGATAGAAATTCTAATTACTCGATATATTGTTGACTCCAGTGACTTACATGAGCAACAACAAGCTTAGCCGAGAGGCTGGCTGGCAAAATTTGCAGTAAAAATGTTCGGTTTGCCCCACTCAAATTACAATTTAATGTTGTGGGTCAGTCGCCTTAGTGGGGCAATAAACAAAGTTCCAGTCGAAGTCCGAATTCGAATCCAAGTCGGAAAGTCGCGGGCTCCTCGCATCGGGATACATAAATTGAATGTGTGCACAGCACACAAATGTTCGAGATATTCTGTGTGCCGCAGGGTGTGGAGCGAAGTTTAGCTTTATATTTTTCTCTCTTTTCCCAGCTTTTCCAGCATTTACAATTGCTGCCGCGCGGAGCTCTTTTTGGCTGCGCATTTGGACCCAAATTCAGATTCAGATTCCGACTCGAATTCAGGTTCGTTGGCGATTTATTTAGGCAAATAAACAAATGGCATGTGCAGAGTGTTAATTTATCAAGTTGCTGGCTCACAGAATTGAAAATAAGTGCGAGGAAATCACTTTGCAACGGCGAAATTCTCTGCTCGGCGACTCAGATCCCCAGATGCCTAATGCTCAGATGCTGTCGGTTGGTATATTTATAGCTTGGCTGCTCATTTTGTCAGCCCAAAGTGCCTGCCATATATCAGGGGAGCATATCTCATTACTTTGTGATATTGCCAATGTATTTTGTCTGACCCAATAGACACCTACAAATAATGAAAAGGATGCCAATGTGGTGTGGAGAAAAGATGTGGCAAGCCAACTAGATTTTTACCGACTACAGAAACAGCAGAACAACCCGAAAACAACGTGACGAGAGAAATGTGGCAAGAAAACGAATGACTTAAGCGACAAACTTGCTTCGGGTATCTGTTGAGTTTTCGCCTCGCCATCGAGTTTTCCTAACGTTTTTATTGGATATTAATAAATCAGATTATCAAAATAACTGTACGAAAATCAAAATACAACAAACTTAAACTAGGAAAAATAAAAACAAAACGAATATTTATTTTTATATTTATATTGCAGCGTGCAGAATAGAAAAGATAAAAATCCGTACATATTTAAATCATTTTTCGCCACAATGTTATATATATCAGAAATTCACAGTGATTCAGAATAACATTTTTTTTATATTGCTTGATTTAAGCAAAAGTAATCATTTCTGTCAACTCGAGCTCAATGTGTATTTCAAACATGGTATAAAAAATAAATTAGACTAAAACCATTAAGAAGGAAAGCACCTACATTGTAATAATGTTCAATAAATGCATCATTAAGGATTTTTGGGAGGTCGGTGCATACCTTCAATGCAAGCCACATCTCTTTAAATGAATTACCCAATAATTTATTGTTGATCATTAGACCTCATTAAAAATGCTGCCTCAGTCGCGCAGTTCAGTTTGTGTTTAATCGGGCTGTAAATGAACTTGGCCACAAAGATCAAGTATAAGCAAAAGACCTCGTGGCAGTGACCAGCATATTGATGAGGAATTTTTCGGGTGATGCTGTAATAGTGGTTGAAATAAGAAGAAAGATGTTCAGAGAACCCTTTTTATGGTTTAGGCACGTAGCAAAGAAATTTGTCCGAAATAAGAAAAGTGAAAAATCTATAAGCGATGCAAATAGCGACGTTTTGTTTAAATGTCAAGTGAAAAACGCTGAAATATTGTCAAGAGGTTTGGGATTGGCTTAGTTTTGCTTGACTGGATCGCTGGAAATATCAATGGCAGCCGCAGGGCGCGAAAAAGGAATCAAAAGGTCTTTGTTCGCCAAGGTGAATGCCACGCAGTGATTCCCCGGCCGGGCGCACATCAATTGTTCGATCTTTATTGGCCACTTTTCAATTCAAAGGCATTTTTATGAGCCGGCAACGGCATCCAAGCGAAAGTTTTTCCTGCCTTTGCTGGCTCTTTGGCTGGGTGGCATTAATTACAAAATCAGTTAGAAAAATTATTGGGAAAACGGTCGGGAGGCGATGACAAAGTCGTCAGCTACTCTCGTTGATAATCTGCACAAAACTGAGAAGACAGTTTAGCCCGGCCGCCGGATAATTGTCTGCAATTGTTTCATAACCGTTGCCTGACCCAAGTCAAGTGACCCAAATCCGCTGACCATCCAGCCGCATCCAGAAGAGATTTGCGCTGAATCTACGGAATGAGAATTGAGTTTTCTTTTTTGTCGTTCTGCGTGTGCGGCCGAAACGAAAACCCAGCCAAGGTATCAGCGTAATTGTGTAAGAATTTTTTGCGCATTTGGGAAATGTGTCTACCAGATGATGAAAAACAGAAAACAAACCAAACAAATCTTGAGCGCGCAGAAAAAGCTTTTCTGGGCAGTGAGAATTTTCAGAGTTTTGTCGCACGAATTGGCAACGGTTCAACTCCGTTGTCGAACTGGAAGATGACACGGCGCATTGTCCGTCCGCACGTGGAGACATTCACCCATCCCATCCCATTTGATTCCAACGCAATGCCATCCCAGCTCATCC